GTGCTATGGGACCCTGCCCCGCAACTCCCCAGTAAAGAGAGTGGGCTCCTTTCAACAAAGAGCTCTGCACGAATGAGGGCGTTGACAGGGTGCAAGCACATTCTGCTCCAGTTCAGAAACAGCACCTTCCCAACCACCCTCTTCAAGGCCCTCTGGTTGCTCCCTGGGATGGGAAGAGCTTGGTGAAAGAGAGACTGGGTGCTTCAATAGATCCTTTGGGAACCGTTAGAAGAAAGGAGGTGATGCAATGGCCACAGTGGGGAGAAATGCCCAGGCCCAACGCAGGAGTTCCCCAGGGCCTGGAACAAGCCTCTGGGAAAACCTGGAGGTCTGGCCGAAACCGGTTTGGCTCAGTGGATAGACTGTCAGCCTGCGGACTGAAAGGCCTCAGGTTCGATTCCGGTCAAGGGCATGTACCTTGGTTGCGGGCACATCCCCAACAGGGGGTGTGCAAGAGGCAGCTGATTGATGTTTCTCTTGCATTGATGTTTCTAACTCTCTATCCCTCTCTCTTCATCTCTGTAAAAAGTTAATAAAATATATTTCAAAAACAAAAACAAAAACAACCTGGAGGTCTGGATTCAGGACTCCTGCCAGGAGGGAGGAAGCAGAGATCAGGAGGAACAGCCTCTCCCCAATTTGTCAGCCTTGGAGGCTTTGTCTTCAGCCCAGCCTCCTGGATGGGATCTGCAGAACATCTGGTGGCTTCTGAGGCCCCTGGGGCTCAGACTGCTGATTATTCATGAGGTTCCGCCCTGGACCTGTTGCACCACCAGATCCCTAGGGAGGAGGCTGCAGTCAGCTGAGCCTCTTTTCTGGAATGGCCGCCTGCACACACTCTTTTCTGCTCCCCGCCATGGGGCAGCCCTGGTAGATGGTGTGATAGGAATTAGGGGGGGCTTTTCCCCCAGCCCTCAGCCTAGGCTCATTGTTCCTTGTGGACTCTGCCACTTGTCCCCAGTCCCTGACTTGGTCTTCTCACACCTATCTCCTCAACGGCCCTGTCCCCTCTGGCACCTTAGAAGAGGCTCCGCCACCCTTATCTCCCCCAGGGTGAGGGACAGCTGCTGATTTGGGGGAATATAGGGAATCTATCTGGGGAAGAGACAGTGGGCCTGAGTCTGAAGCCTCAGGGGCTGGGGTCTTTCCTTTAAAAGGCAGACTGGCCCTATCCGGTTTTGCTCAGTGGGTAGTGTTGGCCTGCAGACTTGATTGCTGGGTTTGATTCTGGTCAAGGGCACATCCATCATATCTCAGTTGTAGGCTCAATCCTTTGTTGGGGTGTGTGCGGGAGGCAACCAATCAATCATATCAATGTTACTCTGTGTTTCTACCCCTCCTTTCCACTCTCTCTCTAAAAAACAAACAGCCAAAACCGGTTTGGCTCAGTGGATAGAGCGTCAGCCTGTGGACTGAAGGGTCCCAGGTTCAATTCCGGTCAAGGGCATGTATCTTGGTTGCGGGCACATTCCCAGTGGGGTGTGCAGGAGGCAGCTGGTTGATGTTTCTCTCTCATTGATGTTTCTAGCTCTCTATCCCTCTACCTTCCTCTCTGTAAAAAATCAATAAAAATATATTTAAAAAACAAACAAACAGAACAATGGCCGGATGAAGATGAACACCAAAAAGACCCCTCAAAAACAAAAACCACACACACACACACACACACACACACACACACACACAACCAAAATAAAAGGCCAACTGACCCCAGCCTAGCCCAGGACTTGCTATTTCCACAAGATGCTTTCAAGCCACCTTTTGTTCACGTATCACACAAACATGTGTTTATTAAGCACCTATTATGCCTCAAAGAGCAAGGAGCTTCCAACCCAATGGGAAAAACAGACAGCTGGGAACAGGAGCAGAACATGCCGTTCCTTGCTCTGAAAAGGGTAGCTACGCAGTCTGCAGCCACTGCTGCCCTGCACCATGAACACCTGCCAGGCAGGGTCCCAGTGCTGCCCTCATACTATCCACCTGCTCTGTGCTCAAGTTGTGATCAGCTTTGCGAGCCGAGCAAAACGCTGTGTTGCAGAGGGTGGGCGAGATGGGGAGAGCCCATGGGGGTGGGGAGGAAAATGGCTCAGTAACCCCTAGTCCGGCTGTGCAAGGTTTGAGAAAGGAATGGTTTGGGGAATGTGACCCACATGTGGCACATCTACCCGGCCTAGGCGAGGTCTGGAGAGGAGGCTCCTGGTTCACCCAGACCTCATTGGGGACCAAGCCTCTTGCGTGGGCTCAGGGCGTTCCCAGCTCCCGCCCCTCAGCTGCTGTCACCAACCGAGCATGCCAGCACAGAAAGGCTGCAGCCAGGAGCCCAAGCCTGCTGCCTGCACTTAATGTAGCCAGCAATTCGCCCTGGGTCAGTGCAGACAGGGTCTTCGCTGAGAGGCGATGGCCACAGTATGGCGGTGGGGCCTGTCAGCACGGCCACAGCACCAAATAGTAGGACGATAAGACCCAGCGAGGTGATGATCTCCCAGTCCATGATGCTAGTGCCCAAACACAACCCGCAGGGTGGGGCTTGGGGTGGTGGGTGGGAATCAGCAGGCTCCTTGGGCTGGGAGTCCGGTGCATTCATGCTGCCCACACTCCGGTGGATGTAGACACCAGCACAGTTCCCGTTCCAGCTGGCCAAGTCAGAGCAGACTGGCAGGGAATGCAGAGAAGTCCCTCCTACCTCCTGACTTGGTGGGGCAGGTGCTAGAGGACAGGTCTCCTTCCCTCTACTCCCCCCACTCTGGGGGCCTTGTGCTGGGGCCCACCCAGGCTTCCCCCCTCATACTCCCCATAGCACCTCCCTGCCCAAGAATGCCCAGTTGTTGGCAGGACACCACCAGTGTGCAGGACTGGCCAGGGCAGGTGGGTCTTTGGGCACCCATTTGGGCCTGACTAGGGATTAAGGTGGAAGCGCCTGCCCTCATGGGGCAAAGGTTCAATGTGGAAGGGGCATAAGTAACCAGTGGATAAGACAATTCTGGTGGAAACTACCTGCTATAGAAACTGATTCTAAGCCCTAGACAGTTTGGCTCAGTGGACAGAGTGTTGGCTTGCAGACCAAACAGTCCTGATTCTGGACAAGGGCACGTACCTTAGTTGCAGGCTTCCCTCCGGAGCATGTACAGGAGGCAACCAATTGATATGCTACTCTTGCATCTCTCTCTGTCTTTCCCTCTCATTCTAAAAATCAATAGAAAAAATATCCCCCGATGAGGATTAAAAAAAATAAAGGTGATTGTGGGGTGACCAGTAACAGGGTGGTGGTGGAATCCACCCCGAGGATTAAGGGTTCCTAAAGACCCAAGCACCCGGGCAGCACTGGAAGCAGTAACCGAGTGGCCAGCTGTCCCTCAGGCTCCTGTTTCCCCGTCCCCACAGTTCCTGTTCTGGGCAGTGGATGGAGCTGTTTTATTCCCTGGAGGCCCCTCACCGCAATTAGGCCCCTGGTTTTTCCTTTCCTACTTTGTCATAGGTCCCCAGCAGCCCTCAAGATTCATGACTCTATGTCCAAACCTTTTACAGGTAGGGCCTCCTGGGGTTTACCTGGAGCCACCCTGAGGCTGGTTCAACATCACCAAGTTCATCCCTCATATCTGCCATACTTCACCTGGCTCTCAGTTACCTGCCTCCTGGGCATGGGTGCCCCAGACAGAGTCTGGTGTTACCCCGTTTCAAAGTCACTGTCCACACTAAGGGCCAGTGCCCCCGCTCTGAGCATTGTGCTCGGTCCTTGTAGGTGCTCAATAAAAGTTCATTTAAAGAACGCCCCAGCCGGGACTGGTTTGGCTCAATGGATAGAGCGTCGGCTTGGGGACTGAAAGGTCCCGAGTTCGATTCCGGACAAGGGCATGTACCTTGGTTGCAGGCATATCCCCAGTAGGGGGCGTGCAAGAAGCAGCTGATCGATGACTCTCTCTCATCGATGTTTCTAACTCTCTATCTCTCTCCCTTCCTCTCTGTATAAAATCAATAAAATATATTTAAAAAAAAAAAAAAAATAAATAAATAAAGAACGCCCCAGCCTCCCACACCTCACCAAGGCCCAGCTCTGTGAAGCATCTCACATCTTCACCGCTGCCCCAGGACTAATCACCACTACCCCCGGTATGATAGTGTGAACAACACTGGGAATTGAGGCTCAGAATCCTTAAGAATCTTGCTGGAAATCCTATAGTAGCAAACAAGTCACAGTATAAACCCAAATCTGACTGATTTAAAACTACAGGCTGTGACCTTGACCTCTACTTTTTTGCTTCCAAAGCAATGATTCCTTCAATAGGGAAGGCAGGAGCCAAGAAGAGGAACAGGTGAGGGCTGTTGGGTAAAGGGCTCAGTGTGGGGGACACACCAACTACAGCAATGGCCCAGGAGGTGGTAGGCACGGGCACCAGGACTGATGGCTGTGGGCACACAATGCCTGCCTACTCTGATAGAGGCCTGTGGCTTTTGTGTCTTCCAATGAGCCAGGACAGATCTAGGCACCTGTGCTAAGGCCAGTTTATGAGGTGAGTCCCCCCTGCAGCCCATCCTGAGTGGCCATACCCCCCTCCCATAGTACAGAAGGGATATGAGTATTTTTAGTAGGTATACTTGATATATTTTTGGCAAACGAAAACAAATACACAACAAATCACACCTTATTACATTATTTCTAAAGTACTTTTTATGTCACTCAAGCAGCTTTTTAAGTCTAAAGTGAGAGAAAACAGAGGTAGCTAAGAAAAATTCCCACTGGCCTCTGTTCCCCCCAGGCCTGTGGAAGGCCCAGCTGAGGCCTGACCAGGCTTAGCAGCTATGAGATGGGGCCTATTTCTTCAGGAAGAGCCAGAGGTCCATTCCTTCCTCTTGGAAACCTGGTTTCCCAAGGGAGTACCAGCATCCCGAGCCAGGCCACTGCACCGGTAAATCCCCTCAATTCCTGTTCATTTAATGCTGACCAGAGAAGGGGTGCTCTCCCCAACAGACCCAGAATCAGCCTGCCTGGTCACAGGAAGGGCTCAGTCAGCAGGTTCATCTCGCAGGATGGTGAGGAAGTGCTGGCCTCCCTCACAGAGAAGGCTGTGCACCGCCCGGCACAGTGCCAGCGGGGGCGGTCCCAGTGGCTCCTGCACGCTCACCAGCGGGAGAAGTTCTGCCATCAGGACCTGGGGGGAGATGAGGGTCAAGGCTGCAGGGAGGCCTTGTCCCAGATAACAGTCCAGGGCCCCCACAGGAGGGCCCAGGGGATAGAGTAATCCCAGGAAAAGCTTTGAGGCACCATGCTCCAGCCCCTCCCTCCTCCAAAAGCTCCATTCTCCCTCCTGCTGCCCCGGTGCTGGCAAATGCACAGGCGCAGAGGCTCTCATCAAGAGCCCAGATAGGATGTTGGGCCTCACAAGACTTCAGATCTGGAATCCTCCCTGTGACTCAGGCTCCCCTGGCACCCCGTCACCGACTCTCTAATCCTCACTCTGCAAGTACCTTTTCCAGGTGGATTTGCTGGTCCAGCATGTCCACCTGAAGCCTGAGGGCTGCCAGCGTCTGCAGCTCCCGGGTGCTGGAGTAGAGAAGCAGCTGGGGGCTCCAGGTGGGCTCCGCTCCTCCTTCACGAGGCAATGAGGCCATGGGGAGTCTCTCCTCAGGCCACGGCCCCAGCTGCTGTCCCACCACTTCCGGGAGGACAGGGGAACGTGGCCTCCTGGGGTGACAGCCAGGCACCTCTTCGTCACTCTCCTCTAAGGGGAAGCAAAGTTGCAAAGTCTCCATTTGCCTCCGAGACGAAGCCCTATTGTTCATAATCATCTCCTACAAGGCCAGGCCAGACAGCTACCATACCTCTCATCCTCACATGCTACTTTTCCAATAATTGGACAAATAAGTAAACTACTTCAAGTGGTAGGGCTCTGTGTGTTGGGAGAAGGAATAGGGGTGAAAGAGCTGTCCCGATTGGTCCCACAGGACAACGGGGGAGAACTCAGAATGCAATGGAGTGACTTGGGGAAGGGCCTGCCTGCCTCTATTCTTGGGTGGTCCTGTGGCTAGAGAACCTTGACCTCCCCTACCAGACTTTGGCACAGATGGGAGTGGGGTCTCACCTGCCTGCAGCTCCTGCAGCCTGTGGAGGCACTGCCCCACAATGGCCTGGAGCCCCTCCAAGGTGAGCAGGCTACGGTACTCCTGCATCCAGTCCGTGGGGTCTACGAAAGTCAGGGAGGGCAGGCTGGGTCACGCTGGTCCTGCAGCACTCCCACCCCCACCCCCACCCAAAAACCTGTATCAGAGCCCACTGACCTCTTGCGAGCTCTTCCTCCATTCTCAGTCTTAGCAGCAAGCAAGCCTTCTGCAGGCGCCCCACCTCTGCCTCCACCTCTGCAGCACTGAGCCCGGAGCTCGGCCAGCCTGACTGGACACAGGTCAGGGAAACTCCCGTGTTCAGCGCCACCGCTCACCTTCCCTAGAGATGGGGTCTGGGAGTGGCTCTGGGCCTTCTTGGAGTTGCTCCTCAAATTCACCAAGTGTAGAACCTTCACTCTTCCCCTCCCCCCCAGCAAACCCAGCAAGGATACTGTCACCTGCATTTTCTGGAGGAATTGGGTTTTAGAGGACGTAGCGGCATCCATGGAGTCGCTGGTCTGTGTAGAGCTGAGCTGGGCCCACAGGCTGGATGCACACATGGGCACCCCAGAGAGAAAATATTATTCTGTCTAGCTGGACTGCATCTCAGGAAGTAGGCCAGAGCCAGAGTAGAGGCCTCAGCCTATGGTGTCTGGCTCTGCTGAGTGCTAGGAGAAGCCTTGGGATGTCTCACGTGAACTAAGAGGACACTGTCCAGAGAGCTGACCCATTCTGAGAAATACTAGGAGAGAATCTGAGGAAGAAGGGGAGAGGGGCTGGCCGTGACTGGTATAGGATGACTGGTAAGAACTGTGGGTGTTGGCTATACCAGGCACAGTGCATAACCTGAAAGGAACCACCTCATTAACATCTCTACAAAGCTAGTACTACTACCATCACCTGCACATGCAAGACAAATTGGGATTAAAAGAAAAGTGTTTTGCTCGAAGTCTTGCAGTTTATAACCACGCAGCTGAGCTGGGGGCCTCAAAGCCTACTGAGTCTAAGGGGACTATGGCAGTTAGACCTGGGCAGACTCTTAATATACAGTGTTCTCTCCTAGCAAAGAAAGCAAAGGGATCTGCTGGAAAAGTCTTGGTTTCCCTGCTCTCCCCTCCACTCCCACCCAGTTGCAAGGCGCGGCCTCACCAGGAGTTCAGAGAAGCCGCCTTCCTGAAAGCCATGGGCAGCCGCAGCAGCGTCCTGTCAGGAAAGCCAGTGTTCAAAGGAGCCTCGCCTCATTCTGGGACTGCAGACTCCATTCCCTGCTCAGAGCCCAGATAGGGGTGAGGCTAATCACCCTCCCCTCCTCCCCCCAAACAGGGCTTCCAAAGTGACCATGGGAGCCAACCCAGTCCAGGTCTGCCTTGTCAGAGAGAGGAGAGGGTACCACAAGCAGAGACCATCTGAGCCCCTGGGCTGGGTAGATAAAAGGACACTGGACAGCCAGGGAGGAGAGTGGGACGGGCCCTAGCACACCAAACCCAGCCAATTCACAGACAGCTGTTCCATTCTGCCAGCTTCAGAGCATGGGCCTCATGGGTGGTACTCCAGAACCCACATACACCTCAATGCCCTGCCCTCCCTGTCACCCCAAATTCCAGACTTCAGCTGCTGGCTAGGGTCTGGTCAAGTAGAAAGCAATTCCTCCAGTGAGGTTCTGAGAAACCTACCCCTTCTCCTTGAGCGTGAAAGCTTCTGGGGCCTGAGGAGCAGCCGATGGAGCTATCTGTTGGTCCCTGAGGCCTGGTCCAGGCTTGGCAGCTAGGGGCCCTCTCCCTCTACAGGTCTGATCCCCCGCTGACAGAAGCCTAGGCTTAGGGAGGCCCTTGGCAGGCCTGGTGGCCTGGCGGGTACCCCTGGGGAGTTTTGTTTGAGAAGCCCGGTGTGGGGCAGCAGCTGTGGTAGCAGAAGTGGCAATGGATCCAGACTTCTGGCTGGAGGCCTTGTCTCTTTCTCCAGCCTTAGATATGCCTTTTCGCACGCGTACAGCCTTCTCCAGTGCCTGGGTGAGAAGCTCCAGCTCCTTGAGGTCTTGCGGGCTGGGTGTGCCTGCTGCAGAAGCCAATATAAGTAGTCTGTCACCACTGTCCTTCTTACCCCTGCATGCCAGAGGACAGGCCAGGGGCAGCACTTGGAGGCGGGTGGCTGAGGTTTACCTGAAGATGGGGCCTCTTCATTAGTTTCTGGACCTGGGGTTGGCTCCGGAGTCGGAGTCTCAGCTGGTTCCCTGCGAAGACACAGTAAACAAAACCCCAGCGTCCTCAGAGCCTTCAGGGAAAGGAGGGGAGGGGGAAAGACACCGACCACCGGCCCCTCGCAAGTGGGCGCTGGGCCCGGCCTCCTGGCCCGGTCTCTGAGAGGGGTTCCGAGGGCCGGGGAGGGCCTAGTCGGGGGTCCCGGGACCTGCGTACCAGGTCCGCAGCAGCCTCCGGGAGACTCGCAGGCTCTGCTCCAGCTGGCGCTGCCGCTCGGCGCAGGTGTCCAGGGCGTCCCGCAGCTCGGCCACCAGCCTGGGGAGGACACGCCGGGAGCTCAGCACCGGGGCCGGCCTGCATCGGGCCGTGCTCGCTCCCGACCCGGCTCCCGCTCCCGCCCTAACCCCAGCACCGGCCTCACCGGCGTGAGCAGCCGAGCGGTAGCATGGAGACGGCAGTCGGTCTTCAGGATTTGCCGCCGGCGGAAAGTCCCACCCCTTCCGGTTTGTAAGACCGCCCCTTTCCGGAAGACTATCCAATCCGGAGACCAGAGCGCAGGACCTTCCTCCTCCCCTACACCCAGCCCATCTCCCACCCCTTGCCTGGCCGCACCGCCCCAGCTCCCAGAGCCAGGCCCCAAGGCTTCGAGGGGCGGGTCTCGGGTGCCGCGCAGGCTTCTGATGTGGATAACTGGGTAGATGGTGGCATCTGTGATCGCTTCACAGTTGGCTTCTCTTGTTCTTATTGAAGGCACTTTGAAGTGGGGCCCACCTGTCTTGCTGACGCCGGGATGGGCCCAATCGCTATGGACTGCCAACAATTGCTTGAGATGAGGATGAACTGTGTGTTGGGAGTGGGGGTGAGGAAGGGCGTGTTCGCTTTTGGATATACAGGTGAGGTGATGACATTCAGGGGAGACATCAGGTAGGCACGTGGGTTGAGATGAAGCAGGATGGTTCAAGGGGAGGCAGGTGTGCATGGACAGGGACAGGTGAGGAATAGATGTTGGAAGGAGAGCTGGAGCCCAGAGAGGTGGAGTGACAGCAGGGCCCAGCGTCAAAGCAGCAGTGGGAGACTGTACTAGGGAACTGTCCAAGGGATGGGGGGTGGGGTCTTCAGTGACTAAGGGAACACCCAGGGTGGGAGCAGTGATGCAGGCGGCAAGAGCCAATGTAATTGGAGAAAAGAATAAACAATCTTGGTTTAGGACTACAAATCTTGGGGGAGGGGAGCATGTTTAAAGCTGGAGAGCTGTCCATTTTATTGTCACTAATAGAAAGGTGGTGCAGCACAGGGGAGAGAGACATGAAAGACAGGAGTGGAAGAGGCCAGGCGCAAAGGGTTTGGGACCCAGGCAGCCATAGTGTGGCCCCTCCATCTGCTGTGGTCTGTTTTCATGCCTCATGTGGGGAGGCTGATGCCATTCTACAAAAGTTGAGATTCTCTGAGGTAGGAGGGGAGGGGAAAACGCTTCCCATCAGCACGTAGAAGACCCCACACCAGTCATAGGGCACTGAGGTGATCATTAGAGCTTTGAAAGATTCAGAGACTCCACACTGTGGTCATGGAGTGTTAGGCTCAACCGGAGTTTATCCTGTACAGGTGCAGGCTGGGAGTAGAGCAAAGAACTGGGTCCACCCAGAGTTGGGATTTTAATTAAGGGGACAAGTGCCCCAATGTGACTTGGGTGACAGTAGGAAGTGACAAGAAGGCAGTACAGATATGCACATCACTCAGCTTCCGCTATTCTCATCACATTTAATCCTCACAACAGGCCTGTGAGGTAGACATTATTGCCCCATCTTACAGGTGAGGAAACAGGCTCACACATACCCAGGGGCACACAGATGCAGAATTCTCTTACAGTAGAAAAGACATACATACATGCACACACACACACACACACAAACACTGTAATTCGGTTCAAGAGCATTTGGGGGACACTCCTAGCCAAGTGGTTCTTTCTGACATTTTGAGAGGAAACAAAACTTATCATAGCATGGCGAGTGTGTCGGTGGTCAACTCAACTGCGGAGAGGTCAGGGGCAGATCTCTCAGGTGTTTTGGCTGCTGCCCCACGTCTCTCGGTGTTATTCTCAGAAACCCACAGCAGACCCATCCTCGCCCGGTAGGCAGGGACAGTTCTTCTGAATCTTGCTCTTCGTCATCTGGGCCACACTTCAGATGTTACAAATGATTTTTTTTTCCCCTGGTTAACCTCTTTAGGCAAATTCTTTTTGCATAAACAGTATCAGGATAGCTTTAAGGGGGTTTGAGTCAGATTATCTTCAGCTGTGTCTAAATAATGTTAAGAATCCCTTGCTTTAAAAATTTAATGACTTCTATTTAAAAAGAAATGACCCAGAAATTCAGTACAGTGAGAGATGCTCATAAGGAGACTATCTGTTGGAGACACAGACAAATCACTCAGGGAAGAGGGACAGACTTCTAAAATGAACTAGGAGGGAGGGAGCCTATAACCAAGACATCAAGGCCCTGTCCTGCAAAAAGTCAGGGCCTTACCCTTACTGGTTTGGCTCAGTGGATAGTGTCTACCTGCGGACTGAAGGGTCTTAGGTTCGATTCCGGTCAAGGGCATGTACGTTGGTTGCAGGCACATCTCTAGTAGGGGATGTGCAGGAGGCAGCTGATTGATATGTTTCTAACTCTCTATCCCTCTCTCATCCTCTCAGTAAAAAAATCAATAAAATATAGAAAGAAAAAAAAAGTCAGGGCCTTCATGTCTGGTCATCACATGTAGCCCAACAATGAAAAGGGCAGGGTCCCTCACCACGGGACCTTCTGCCCTGTGAGGGAGATGACCTGAGCAGGGTGAGGTGGGCACCAGGACATACCTGTACTCAGAGCTCTCAGCTCCCCCTAGAACCTAAAGCCAGATAGATACAGGGAGTGGAGAAACTGTGCCAGACTACCTGACCACGTGTTCTCAATTGTGAAAGCTGTCACTACTGTGATGGGGGTTCAGTGGGGCTGGGGTTGTCAGGCCATGGGCTTAAGCTTCCCAAAGAGAAAGCAGGACAGACACAGGGGAGCACAGAGAAATTGGCTTCACACAGTGTTGCTTTGAGGTTAAACTTTTCAAAGAGCAGGATCTGAGTTTTGTTCTGATTTAGACATTCTGATAGCTGGAATGGGACTCCCCTGGTGAAAGACACTCAGTGTCCTTCCCAAATTCTCTCTTCTCCATTTGAAGCCACTGGGGTCTACACATCATTCCTCTCCAGTGCTCCCACTTCTGGTGCAGCAGCAGCTCTCCCCGCAAACATTCACCGCAGCAAACACTAACGCACTCACAGCTCCAGGAAGCCCAAGTTCGTGTCCTGCTCCTCCTCGCTGGGGGCAGATAGGTTTTTCCTTTTCACCTCTTGCCGGGGAACACTGCTCTCTGGGGAACTTGAGGGACGACACTGTAAACACGACTTCCTGGCATGATGGTGGCAATGCAGTGTGTTCGAGTCGCTGCCTGGGGAGTGTGCTGAGGTAGATTGGGGAGGGCCGCCATTCACGGAGTTTGTGGGACTCACGCTGCTGACGGAGGAGTACCCTGAGGTTGCAATGTCCTTGCCCAGTTCCCTGCTGCCACAGAGAGGGGGCTTGGGCCCTAGGGCCAGAGGTGTCTGGGTGCTTGGCACCATGGCGTGCAGATCCTGGCATCCCTCGTCCTCCAGGCAGGCCTCCTCATCACTAGATTCCTGGCCGCAGTGCTCTTCTGGATTGAGGTACACCACGGTGACATCAAGGACGCCGCTGGGAGCCGTCACTATGGGAGAAGAAGTCAGAGAGGTCAGGCCACAGACTAAGCATCAGGGTGACCCCTAGCAAGTTGGGACCCTAGTCGCCTAGGGTCCAACTCTCACCCAGTTCTCTCCGCTATATATGCTGGACCTCACTAGATAGTCCCCTCTACTGATCTCTTTTGAGTTAAAGAATGGAGGATGAAATGCCTCCTTCAAGCTTGGGGGACCCAATAGGACTTGGGGGATAATAGAAAGTAACAACGAACTGGTCATCTAATAATTTACTTAATTCCCTGGACACAAAAGCTTGCAAGCAATTGGAAGATGGACAGAAACTGCTTGAATTGGGTTTTCTATGCAGACAGGTGCCTGAAAACACGAGAACAGAGCTCCCTGCAGCCTCTCCTGGACCCTGGAGGAACGTGTGAGCCACAGAGCCACAGAGCTGCACAGGGCAGTGGGGGACATCTCACACAATGTTCTAGAAAGATCTTACTGTAAACTCCAGACAGGACTTCTTTTTCCCCTGCCCCGGTGAGTCCCTTCCATCAACACAGGCCTGCCTGAAGCTGGACACACATTTGGCTTAAATCCTTTCTCCTCAACTACTGCTGTGGTGTCCTAGGGACTCTGCTCTCTCACATGTCTACCTGTGCCTGACATGTTCTCTCGCAGGTAAAGCCAGGGGCCCTCGATGAGAGCTGCCCCTTTTCTCGCTGTCCCCTTTGGCATAGCCCCTGGGTGGCTTTGCGGGCACGGGACTTACCATCACCCTCCTTCTCGCCCTCGCTCTCCTGGTCGCCCTCGTAGCCAGAGCAGTAGTCCAGGTTCCAGTCCAGGAAGCTGCCCAGTAGCGTCTCTTCCTGGCTGGACAGCTCTGCGGTGGGGGTGGTGACGAAGCTGCCCCTGTCCTCCTGGAGGCTGTTCTCTCGCTTCCTAAGATGTGGAGGCCAGAACTCAGTCAGAGGCAGCAGCATTAAATCCTTGGCACCTGCCTGCCCCGCCCCGTGTGCTGTGATAGAGACAACACAGCCACCCAGTGCCTGTCCTTGGCGGCCCAGAGGCAAGGCTAGAGGTGCAGTGAGAGTATTGGCTCATCTGGACTTTGCAGGATCAATATGAGTTCTTCAGGTGAGTGAGGTGGGGAAGAGAAGTTATTGCAGGTGGTACAGCCAGGACTTTTGAGATAGGAGAGACAGAAGTAAGTGGGGCCGGGACCGGTTTGGCTCAGTGGGTAGAGCGTCGGCCTGCAGACTGAAAGGTCCCGGGTTCAATTCCAGTCAAGGGCATGTACCTTGGTTGCGGGCACATCCCCAGTAGGGGGTGTGCAAGAGGCAGCTGATTGATGATGTCTCTCTCATCAATGTTTCTAATTCTCTATCCCTCTCTCTTCCTCTCTGTAAAAAATCAATAAAAATAAAAAAATTTAAAAAAAAGAAGTGGGATACACACGGAAGATTAGGATGGAGATGAGGGTACATGGGAGACGCTGAGGACACCATTTAGGTTATAGCTGGAGTTCAGGGAGTGCCAGTAACACCATGGAGTTGGAAGCCCAAGGAGGGTGACATGCGACAAATGTATGGTAGGGCTAGAGCCTGAGCTGGACTCAACCTATGTTCAAGCCCATTTTCCCTCAAAGGGTACCAGTCAAAACAAGAGACAGCATGTTGGAGGAAGACAGCACTGCAGAGTGCAGCTCAGGTGCAGGGGAGTGAGGCCTGAATTCAACCCAGCTTCCGTTTCATGGGATGTGTTTCTTCTCCGTTATGCCGTAGGAGCTGAGCCTTCTGTGTATGAAGCCCCTCAGACAGTTGCAGGGGTCACGAGGGAACACAGGCCCAAGCACACAGGAGCCAATACCGCATCACACCTTTAAGACTGGGCTTACTAACCTCTTGGTTTTCCTTGCAGAAGGAGAGCTAAGGAAGGTGTGAATGTCCCCGGAGCTGAGGAAAGACGTGGGTTCCGGGCTCTCTTGTTTCACTCCTAGAGCTGCGCACACCTGGCTGTAGCTCAGCACCTGAGAGGAAGCCGGGGTCAGAGGGAGAGAAGAGGCCCCAAGAGGCAGGCAGGGACTTGTTCCCACCCGACCAGGAGATAGGGAAGGGGGAGTGATACCTCTTCCTGGCTGATCTCTTGGTAACGCTTGTCCTCAAATCGCTGTTTGACGGCCGTCAGAGAGACTTGTCTATAGTCCTTAGGGACGTCGTCATGGAAGCTGCAAACAGAAGGACACGTGAGGGACAGTGGGGGGCAGATGGGGATCCGGGGCAGGCATTATCTGCACACCCAGCCCAAGAGACTCCCAATTTTAACCTCCCTCAATGAAATTAAGAGGGGACAACATACTTTCAAAAACAGCCCAGTGATGGGAGGTAAAATAGGGTGCCACTGTGGAAAAGTCTAGCTGTTCCTAGCATTTAAACCTATGACTCAGCAATTCCAATCCCAGGTGAATCCCCAACAGAAATGTGAACACATTCACACAGAAACTCGTTCGTGGATGTTCATAGCAGCATGATTCATAATAGCCAAAAGGTGGAAACAGTCCAAGCATCCATCAGTGCACAAATTATAAACACAATATCCACACAGTAGACTATTACAGTGGAAAATATAAGGGTGGAAGAGGTCGGCCACAAAAGGTCACATATTGTAATTCCATTTCTATGAAATGTTCAGAACAGGTAAATCCATAGAGACTGACAGTAGATGAATGTTTGCCTAGGGCTGGAAGGGAGGGGAAATATGGGTAATATAAATAAGAAGTACAGCCCCCCCCCCATTTTAAAACCATTTTTATTTTTCAATTATAATTGACATACATTATACTAATTTCAGGTGTGCACTCTAGCGATTAGACATTAACTAAGTGATCATCCTGGTAAATCTTGCACTTACCTGACACCATACATGGTTAATAGTTGACTATTAATATGTTCCCTATGCTATGCTTAATATCCCATGACTATTATGTATTAACAATTTATACTTCTTAATCCCTTCACCTTTTTCACCCATCCCCTCAAACAACCTTCCATCTGGCAAATGGCAAAATGTTCTCTGTAACTGTGAGTCTATTTCCATTATTTTGTTTTTTTAGATTCAATTGTTAATAGATTTTATTGCTATTTTATTGTTCATATTTTTATCTTGTTTTTTTCTTTCTTATTAAAGAAGACCCTTTAACATTTACTGGTTTGATGGTGATGAAATCCTTTAGCTTTTTTTGGTCTGCCCTTTGATTTTAAATGATGGCTTTGCTGGATAATCTTGGTTGTAGGTCCTTACTTTTAATCACTTTGAATATTTCTTGCCAATCCCTTTTGGGCCTTCAGAGCCAAACCAGCTAGGGCAGTGCCCAGATCCTGAAGCTGATGGACTGGGGGTGCAGATGACCGTTAGATTGTGTCTGACCCCACATTTGCTCACACTAGGAGTGCAAATAGTTGTTACCTGGTTACCAGAAGTTATTGTTAGGCTGTCTCCTGTCCCCCAAGGTATTTTTCTCCCAAACCAGGTAAATCGGAACCATTTATTTAACAAACGGAACTTTTCCTAACATAAGTGTACAATTTAACAGGCTTTTAGTGTGGGGAAGAGAACATTAAGGCAGCATAGCCTGGTGGAGGAAGGGGTGCTTTAGTAGATATGCATGTGATAGAGAGGGAGTGGGGACCAGAGTGAGTGGGCTGAGGAGTGGGAGGAGGGGCTGTAAGCTGAGCTGGGATGAGCTGCAGCCGGCTATGTGCCTGGGGGCCATAGTTTGCCAGCACATGAACTAGATCATGTGTCTTACACTGAAATTCCTACTAGTTAGGGAGAGTCTTATTTTTTCTATTAAGTTCTGCTGCCCACGGAATTTGGCTTGGATTGGGAGGAGCTATTATTGCACACACATCAAGTGAAATATGCAATATGGCTTTGGAATGTTTAAATGTCAACTCTGATACTCACAACTTACTGCAGGAAAGGTCTATGGACTAATGGCCCTCCCCTGAGAGCCCCCTCCTTTTCTCTATACTTGAGGACCCAGCCTCTGTGGCAGAAGTAGGGTGGGAGAATCCATTTCCTTTTAAAGACTCACCACTTTTGGTGAAGACTCAAGACACACGGTATGAGGTCTTCACAGGAGAACCCGGTGAGGTCCCATAGCTGAGTGCTCCAGGGCTGTGCTGGGAAGAAAAGCAGGAATGTTGGGGCTGTTCTGACATCCACTCACCCATACAACCCAGATGGTTCTGTTGTGGGATTTCCTGGAGCTCAGGGTTGCAAAGACCCCACATACAAAGCATGCCTGGTCACTGTCAGCAGTTTCGGAAATACAGGGGCGGACAAAAGTAGGCTTAAGTTGTTCATATGGAAAAATCTATAATAATAAAAGCATAACATACAAATCAAATGAATGGCCGAACAGCAGAACAACGTCTGGATGTCCTTCTGGATGAAGCTGGGGCTGCGAGGCCAGAGGCAGCCAGACTGCAAAGGGCTAGTCTTGCACAAATTTCGTGAATAGGGCCTCTAGTAATATAATTAGTAAGTAATAATACAAGCCCAGCTGATGTGGTCAAGATTCGATTCCTGGTCAGGGCACATGCCCAGGTTGCAGGCTCAATCCCCAGTATCAGGACGTGCAAGAGGCAGCTGATCAATGATTCTCTCTCATCACTGATGTTTCTATCCCTCTCTCCCTCTCCCTTCTTCGCTCTGAAATCAATAATGTATTTTAAAAATAAATAAATACCGGTTATAATAATACCAGAATAAATACTGTGTTTTGGTGTACTAGAATTGTAAACCTACTTTTGTCCACCCCTGTACTTAAGCTAGGACCATCCCTAACCTCACTCCCAGAGAACGGCTTTTAGTCCATTCTGGGGTTTTCCTTCTCCAGGAGCGGTGGGCCTGCTTCTTTTTCTCCCCTCTCCCCACTTATCTTCTGACTCCAGGAATTGCCCAGGCCCCTGGCTCAGCCTGTGCTGAGCGGCTGGCCCGAAGAGCAGGGTCCTTACTTTGCCCATGTGTCAACCTTGCTAGCAGCAGGGCGGCTGCGGCCAGGCGTGCTGGGGAGTAGGCGGCCAGGCTGGTGTGCAGTAGGGAGAGCTCGCAGAGGAAGCTGCACAGGTGCTGGGTTCTTGGTGGCATAGGGATCAGCGTCAGCAAGATATCCTTATAATCAACCACGGTAGGGACCTAGACAGAACCGGAAGGCAGACGTGAGGAGGGGTCTCGGCACACAGAGAACTCATCTACCCACTCAACAGGGAGGCTGGCCCAGCACAGAGTCTGGCATGACTGATGTTCAAGATGGTTGCCAGGGGATGTGATGATAAGATGACCTCTGGGACCAGGATTTCTCAGAGCAGGAAAGTTCAATGCTATGAGATTGCCTTGAGATCCTGCCACTCCCTCATGTGACCTCCACTTGGATTTACAAAGAAAAAGAAAAAAGGCCACTTACTCGAATCTTCCCTTCTAGTGCAGAAATGATCTCTCCCATCATCCTCACCAGGTCCTCATACTTGTACGTATTGTCTGTGAGCCACACGGCTTCCCGGATTGTCAAGATCTCTTTGTTGATGAACCTGAAATATGAGATGGGGTCTGAGAGTTGAGCTCAATTCCCTCAGTGAGGCAATCACTTTAGGCTTCAGTAAAAGAGGCTGGAGTGGGGTGTGTGTGTGTGTGTGTGTGTGTGTGTGTGTGTGTCAAAGAATAGACCTGGATGCGTGTGGCTACAGATGGAAACTGAAGAAGTCGCATAACCCTGTCATAAGAGGCTGAAAAGGAGGAGGGATTAGTGCCACAGACCACTGTGAGTGGCTGAACTGCCAGGCACACAGATGTTTCTGCCAAAGGCACTCATGAATGATGTGACTGGTCAATCCTCTTGGTGAGTGAGGGGGGTTTGTCCTGCTTTGTGCCAGATTCTACAGTGAGTATAAATGGCTTAAATCTAGGAGGTAGGTGAGCCACAGAACTGAGCTAGGGTTGTCTGGAGGTTTGTACATAGCATAGAGTCTGGCCACTGGAAAGCTGATTGTCCATTAGGCAGGTGGTCACCCTGTTCTTTACTCTCCACGAGAGCCAACTATCAGTGAACACACTGGTCCAGTGGCCTGCTGAGGGTGCCTCCCCTGGTGAGGGTGGGCTGGGGCCAGGCCTGTAATGGCTTTGTCCTAAGACTCTGCAGCTCCCACACGTGCTGAGGCATGGGGACCACAGGTGCTGAAAGGCTGAAATGCAAGGATAGCTGATGAGGCCCTGTGCTTGGAGTCATGGCAAGTGCTGCTTTGAGAGCAGAGGTGGGGTTATCTCAGCCTCTAAAAATTTTAAAGAAATTAGCATCTCACCACTTGTCAGTTTGTGATCCAATAACTTGGTTTCTGTGGACAAGGATGTAAGTATGCCACCTAGATACAGGAGGCAGGGGCCCTGTCTATTCAGTGCTCTCTGATGAGGAAACCTGAAATACTGAGGGGCCCAAACAGTGTGCAGCAGTCGGCTTGCTGACCCCAAGTCCATCATGCTCCCTCCACCTGTGGTCATACGACCATGTTTTCTAGTTACATGTGGCCATGTGACTGAGCTTGCTGCAAAAGTGGACATGGTGACTTTAGGGGTCAGGGAATGGTGGAGGCAGAGAATGACAGAAACTAGGGTTCTTCTGTGACCTCCATGAAACAGAAAATCCATCCCAATGACCTGATGAGCCTGGATCTTATGCCTCTGGATTATTGTGCAAAAGAAATCAATCTCCCTGTAATTCACACCACTGTGTGCAACGAGCCTGTTCCTTATTTCCCCCAAGCCTTGCAGTCAAGGATAGTTGGTCTGGAAAGTACTGCCCAGGGGAAATGGCAGACCATCTGGTTTAGGAAAACTAGCACATACAAAATGTATGGTGGGGCCGAAACCAGTTTGGCCTGCGGACTGAAAGGTCCCGGGTTCGATTCCGGTCAAGGGCGTGTACCTTGGTTGCGGGCACATCCCCAGTAGGGGGTGTGCAAGAGGCAGCTGATCGATGTTTCTAACTCTCTATTCCTCTCTCTTCCTCTCTATAAAAAAATCAATAAAATATATTTAAAAAACAAAACAAAATGTATGGTGGGAATCACTGTTTATATTATTTCCAAAGGCAAAACTGGGTGGACAGGTATTTGTTCAAGACAGCAGATTTAGGTAATAAATAAGAAACACATTCTTGGGAACTTGATTGCCAACAAGTAATCTTTCATCTTTGATGGAGGACTATGACTTTCCCTCGTTGAGTCACTCTCACCAAATAAGGCCATACTTTGGGTCCTGAGACCATGTACTGGGATGAGTGGCTGCCCACACACCCAGCTCAGCTGTCTCTGTGGTAAGGACTATGTGGCTTGGGCACTCCCTAAAATTCAAACCCCATCTAACCAAATGGGGCAATGAAGCTTTATTTCACTGAAAAGCCAGTCCGTGAACCAAGGCACAGCTGTGGGGAGCTTCTCACCGAGTGCAGATGACCATGCAGGCAATGCCCAGCAACTGGAGCTTATACCGGGGCACCAGCCTCCTCCGTAGGTATCGGTCCACACACTCCACGGTCAGGTGAAGGCACAGGCTTGTGAAGTCCTTCATGGTGGCAACTTCTACCAGCCAGTCGATTAGAATGTACCTTTGGGAAGAGCACCACCCCTGAACATTAGAGCGAACATTCATGAGTGTCCTATCTCCCAATCCAGATAGTCCATCTGTCTCAAGTGAGAGAGCTGGTCATCTGCACTATTGGTTTACCCAGGAACCATCCCAGGCTGAGATGTTATATTCAGGGGGGTTAGGGAGGCCCCATATCTCCTGACATTGTTTCTGGGAGGTAGGTGGGCTCATATATCCATGTCTCTGCCTCCCCCTCAGGGTCCCCCAGGACTGGAAAGACCCGATACTCACAGGTAAGGGACAAGGTAGAGGTGAGACAGATCACAGACCCCAGGACCAGAGAAAAGACACTCAAAGGTGCGAGAGCTTTGGCCCTCCTGCAACTCACCTATGGGGTCATTTACCAAAACCTTCTGCATTGGAGCAAAGAGCCAAGAACACAACTAAAGCGGAACGCACTGAGCCCATGAATGGACTTTCTTATCACCCACCAACCCTAATGGAGCACAGAGCCAACACACATGGGGTCTTCCTCGAGAGGGCTACAGCCTGGGGTCAGGGACACAGACATCACAAAGGAATGCTGCGTGCAATGGGAAGGATACCAGAGTACGGGAAATGCCTTTCTGAACAAAGGAGAGGGGGTGCAGAGAATAGAAGAGAGAGAAAAATTGTGATTCTGCAGACAGGGTAGGTGGGATCCTGGTGTCAGCCAGGACAGAAGCCATCTCTTAAATGTGGAGGGAAAGAGGGAAAGATGGGGCCAAAGTGGTGCAATGGAAGGAGGAGGGAAGCAATGGAGGTGGAATGGAAGAAGGAAAGGATGAAGCAGGAAGACAAGCCTCTAGTTTCTCCCAGAAGGAGGAAGAAAGCATGACATGAGTATCAGGTGTTTGAGGTTTAAACCAACCACTATTGAAACAGAAGAAGTTCCCCTACACAAACAGATTAACAAGCTTAATCTGCTTATAAAAACAGAATAACCAAAGTATATACTTTAAAGTGGTTAAATCTGAAACTAATATAATGTTACATGTCAATTATACCTCAGTAGAAAAAAAGTTGGCAGTTGCTAGGCAGAGAAAAATGAAAAGATGCTCAACTCAAGGGCTGAAATGTTATCTCAATAAAATTATTTTAGTTCTTAACAAGGGGGAAAAAAGTGAATTTTATTACACCCTGTTGAGCCAAAATAGCAAGTAAAAAAAAATAAAAAATAAAAGGGCAGACTGAGAGGGGCATAAGGTGTTATCAGCATATTTTTTCCAACAGAAAAAGGGAAGAGCTGAGAGGAGGGGGAAAGGGGTTGCCACCACAGGCAGAAAGCACAAAAGCCTTGTGACATTTAATGTGGGAGCTAAGGATGATGCATCCCTCACCAAGTGTGTTAGACATTAATTAAGCCTCTCCAGGAAACGCTAGATCCTTCCAAAAATATTGTTTACTGAGAATTTACTATGTGCTGGGCACTGTCTACTAGAGTATACCCAGAGCTTGCCCATTATAAATCCAAATGTATTAGAAACCTCTTACATAAGTTTACAAAATTACTCACATTTTCCATTTTACTACCATGTTCTGTAATTAAATTTAAGAAGTGCCTTATCTCTACACCTTGGAGGACAATGGACCAGCAGAAAGTGGTGGGTACTGCTGGGGTTTCAGGACACTGGGTACATTGCAGCTGCCCCAGAGGGCACAGCTCCTGGTTCAGGCTGGCTCCAACAGCCATGGAGTTTCACATATCAAGTTGATGATCATAATGATAGCTTATAAAGAAAAGGTGGTTTGGGGGCTTCAGAAAGATATTTAAAATGGTTTAACTTGTTCTGAGGCTTAAAAAGGAAAATTGGAGAGAGCACCACTTTTTAGGACAAATATTTTCTCTTAAAAGCCCTGGATAACTTAGAAAACACACACACACACACACACACATACATACACACACACACACACACACACACACACACACACACACACACACACACACACAAAGGGGGTGATCTTAGTGGGGTTGATAAAAGAGTGCTCTGTGATAGGTGGCTCAGGTGAAACAGAATGGATAGCTCCCTTTGCACCAGAGACCAGTGGTCACTCTGCCGTCCAATCAGAAACTCTGGCTTGAACCCCTCACCTCATCGTGTCGTTGAGTCCCTTCTGCACGGAAAAGACCTCCTGCTTATTAGCAGCGTGGGAAGCCTGAAAGAGCTGGCAGACTATCTCATTGGATGCTTTCACTTCTAGTCCAAGCTGGTTTCCATTTGCACAGGCTTTGGCTAAAGACAGCTGAGAAGTAAAGACATGCAGAATGAGCACAAAGCAGTGACTTTTGAGGTTTTCCATTTCCAAATGTGAAGAGCTTTTGAGAAAGAAGACATGTGTATACATATTCGTCCTCCTTATGCCTCAAGCCTTCTGGAACCAGTAAGACTAAGATTTTAATAATTCCTTTTGAAATAAGTAATATATCACATGATAAAGAATTTTAAAAAGGATAAAAGGTATGTAATGAAATGTTAGTCCCCTTCCTAACCTGGTATAGCAGTTCAACCAGTAAGTGTTTGGCAACTTAAAAAAAAAAAAAAAAAAAAGGTATATTCCTATTCAACTCCCAACTGTGAAAGCTAGATACTCCAGGAGGAAGCTGCGTAGCAAGGTGTCAAAGAGCAGGCTGGGGGCTCAGATGACTTGACACTAAAATCTGAGCCTGAGTGTGACTGCTGGGAAATTGGGGGACTTTCTATGCCTCAATTTCACTTTTCATGAAGTGGCATATAGCACCTGCTTTGGTAGATGATGTGAGGATTAACTGAGCTTTGCACAAGACCCACCCAGCACCCACTAAGCTCAGAAATGGTTACTATCAACCATTTCTATGTATTTCCTTTCAGATTTTTCTATGCACCGATAACAGTGTATATATGCATTCATGTTTACAGTATAATACACATCTAATCTATTCTTTGCTCACCTAACAATAACATGGTTCCTTAGAAAATGAAATATCTGTAAACATGTTTCACTTGTTCTTTTTCAGATATTTCTGATGAGTTTTACTATTATTTTGGAACATCTTTGTGCAGCCCTTTTAATACCTGTACCTGTCTGCTCATATGATCAGTCCACAGGAATGGCTCTGCTAAGCATTTTGCAGCTTATGTGCAAGTGCTTTCTGAAAGGCAGGACTTGATGTTCACACCAATTAATAGGAACACTATTTTATTATATCTCTGCCAGCAAAAACAGCTATTGTTAAAAATTGTCTATTTTGCCAAAACCGATTTGGCTCAGTGGATAGAGTGTCAGCTTGCGGACTGAAAGGTCCCGGGTTTAATTCCGGTCAAGGGCATGTACCTTGGTTGCGGGCACCTCCCCAGTAGGGAGTGTGTAAGAGGCAGCTGATGGATGATTCTCTCTATCCCTCTCTCTTCCTCTCTGTAAAAAATCAATAAAATATATATTTTTTAAAATTGTATATTTTCTGAAGTCATTATCTATCTATTAAAAAGCACACATAAATATCTGCTAATGTGACCAGCTGTGATCTGATTAGAATGCACTGCCCTTTCAGCCAGCAGTGAAGGGAATGCTGCTGCTCCATTTCCTCAGCTGTGCTTATTTCCTCTTTTCTCAGAGGGCACTGAGGCCCCGTGGACTTTATCAGGACCTTATTCTTATTGATGAGCTTGAGCTTCAAGTAGAACCACATTGTGATTGCCATGCCTTACAAATTTGCTGACTGCCTTTTTGGACATAAACATTACAGTGCTCTGTGACTTGTCAGGTTGAGCCACCTACCACTTTGTGATTTCTTTCCTAGCTTTTGAGGGTAGGTGACTATCAACCATCCACTTGATTGGCTGAGCTTCTACCTGCTTGATTTTCCTTGTCTTTTTTTTTTTTTAAGTTGAAGCATTTATTTATTTATTTATTTAAATTGGTTTTTCACAGAGAGGAAGAGAGAGGAATAGTTAGAAACATCGATGAGAAAGAATCATCGATCAGCTGCCTCTTGCACACCCCTTACTGGGGATGTGCCCGAAACCAAGGTACATGCCCTAGCCCAGAATCGAACCCTTTCAGTCAGCAGGCTGATGCTCTATCCACTGAGCCAAACCGGTCCCGGCTAATTTTCTTTGTCTTGAAATCACAACTTTACAGCTTCAAGGAGAGAGTGCTTAAAGAACACCAACTACAAAGCCCTAAGGCTTCTGGTTCTGACACTGGACAGCCTGGTGAGCAGGTCAAATAATGAGAATAAGACAGCACTCCACATGCTCTAAGGAGCTTCAAGATCTGTTGCTGAGGTAAGCTTTACCTGCAAGAGAACTTTAGACCAATATGAATTTTGACAGCAAATGCAGTCCCAAGGCACTTAGAAATTAAGAGACTGGCTTAGAGACAATGGGCTTTGAGACAATAGGGTGGTAATGGACAGAGAAGAAGGCAGCAGTTCCAGGCTCTCCTCCCACACACCCCAGAGCTAAACTCCTTTAATACATAACTCCTGATGAGTCCAGGAGGTAAAGGCCAGCTCCCTCCTCACCTGGGCTTCCCAGCAGCCTTTGGCAGCATAGTCCCTGAGTTTCCGGAAGTTGTGGAGGCATCGTCCAGGATCAGACATCTGTCAATGGAAGAAAGTCACCATGACTTTACATGGTTGTGTCTTTGGAAAAACTCAGAACTGACCTACGGAATCTTTAAATGTTCCCCCTAACCCAGAGGGTCTCTGGCTGCACTTTCTTCAAGCCTTTTATTCTCCCAATGACGGTGGGTGGTCATTTTGGGACAGTGCTGAGAGTGGCCCACTAAGCAGTGGTTCCCAGGGGCCTACTAGATGAGGATCCTTCCTGTGTTGACAACCTCATACAAGGGCCAATTTGGAGACTGTGCCTTTGGCCAACGTAATTCCTCCTCTCCCCAGACCCTGGTCCACTCACATCCGTCATTCTGTCACTTTCCCAGAGGAGGTACGAGCTGGTCAAACATCCCTGATTGGCAGACTCTTCAAACAGATCACGAGCCTGCTTCTTTTTCTCTTCATCCTGGAATAAGTCCAAGCAGTTTATTCTTTTCTTATTCTGCTAAACCATTCTAGTAACCATCTTCATCTTTCTCCATTATCTCTAAGTGTTCCCATGCATTGCTTTTTAATAAGAATCGGAGTAGAAATGATTTCTCTAAAGACAAACATTTGACCATCATCGGGGATACTGAATTCACAAGTTCTGCCCTCACACGTTCTGTTTTCTCCTTGACCAGGTTTGTGTTTGGTTTAGCTCTAGGCCTACTGGAGGGCAAGCCCTCCACACTGAAGCCCCCCGATGGTGATGTTGGAGGCTATCTCGGGCTCCCCTACCTTCTCCCTCATGCTCAGTGTACCTCCCTGTTACTGTCAACGCACACCTGCCACCAGAAGCCACCACCTTCCCTGACTTTGCTAAGAGGGAGTTCCTTAGTAACAAAGCTTGTTAAAGCTTTCTCAAACGTGGAGAGGTCTGGGTGAGGAGTGTGAGAGGCTCACCAATAGCAAAACCATGAAACAAATAAGCACACTCAGACACTCTGCCTAGCTCCATGCAGCCTCTCACAGTCAGGATCTGGCTTTGAACCCGGGACAGCTCCCTTTGCTGCCCTTCACTTACTTTCTCATCCTTGGTGTCTGTGGCTGGCAGAAAAGTGAGCAGCATGGAAATGTGAAGCCGCTGTATTCTGTATGCTCACCCAGGCCGGCACACATAAAACTCAGAATCCAAGTGGGATGGATAACTCAACTCACCTCAAAAAGATTCAGTACTCTCCCCAAGCAGTGCAGTATGGCCGCTCTGTGAGTCTAAGAAAAGGAGAAAGAAGTATGACCACCAGAGGAGAGAACATCCGGGCTGCCCCTCCCAAGCTGTGGGGTTTGCAGGCCTGCTTCATGGAACCTCTGTCTTGCCTTCCCAGCTGTCAATGTGCCTGCAGTCTAGCTCATCAGATTCCCCTGAAGCCCGGCTCTGAGGCCTCCTCTCCTGCTTGGGCATTTCCAGATGCTCCCACATCCATACTATTTATTTTCTGTGCCTCCACTGCCCTCAGGTCTCTGACTTTATGATCCACAGCATCTCTCCTCAAGGTTTCTAACCTCCCGAGGTTCTATGGGGCTTGAACTGCCAGGCGCTGCCCACCTTCCATGCGCCCCTGGCCAGGACTCACTCTTTGCAGCTGGCACTCTGCTCTGAGGCTCTCGTGAACCACGGCCTTGCAGCAGCTTCCAGACACTGACCACGGCGGGCGGATGAAGAGCCAGATGAAGGGCGCAGCACTGACATTCAGGCGCTCAGCGAGACTGAAGTAGTGGGAGGCTTTCAGGCCATTCACTTCTGCACGGGCCTCATCAGACACAGACACTGTAGAGGCGGACAGAACATAACCCAGAGATGTCTCAAGGACAAGTGTGAAAGTTCTCCATGATCTTTTGGGAAAGTCTAAAACCCCAAGTTCACTGCAGCGCAGAGCTGCTGTTGTTTTAGAAGACAAAAGCCCTCCAGAATGAATGGGGGGCTCCTTCCCTTTCTCCCCCTCCTGTGAGAATCATGTACCTCTGCCAGGATCTTCCCAACAGCCTGGATTTTGACGGTTGGGAAGGTGCTCTCTGTGAAGGTGTTATGTGCCCACCCTCCCTCCTGTTGGGTCCTGCTGGCAACCCCCCTACTAACAAGTTTATTTTGGGGGCAATGAGAATTCCCAAAATTAGTGGTGATGGCTGCACAACTCTGTGAATGTACTAAAAATCACTAGGCTGTATATTTGGATAGGTGAGTTGTATGGTATGCGAATTATATCTGGGAACTGTTATCTGACGGGAGGTTTGGGGCAGGACTGCAGCTTTTCTCAGCCTGGAGGAAAGCTCCCTGTTTCTATTAGTCACAATGGTCTTGTCAACTGACCATGTGCAGGGGCTCTTTCTCAATAAGATGCCGGATCTTTTAGAAGCAGAAAAACAGCTGTTATACTCAAATCTTTATGTGTTTTGGGAACCAGCCAGGAATGGACCCTAGGCTAGTCCTTAGTGTGCTAAGCAAGCAGGCAGGAATTGGTAGAAGGCCACATAAGATTCTTTCAAAGAGCACTGACCTTTGGGGGTAAAGAAATTCGGTCACCATGCTGGCTTTGACCTGTCTGTACCTGCCTCTGGCTTAGAGCCTTGGCTACATGTGTTCTCGATATCCTACGGAATTAGGCACACTTTGACCGCTGCCCCCCAGTTCCACAGAGGAACTGTGGCTGAGGCAAGGAGACAGTCTATACACAGGTCTTGGTGTTAACTGGACAGAGGGCAGGCAGCCAGAAAAAGGCTGCTGCCTGAGTAGCCCTCATTCTAATGCTCTGCTCCGTCATTCTTTGCTGACTGAAATGAAAAGATTAAAATGAGAGGTGAGTCTTCCAACGTACAAAAATCAAATTTCATCAACGGGCCCCTCAGTAGGGCAAGAGCTCCTTGGAGAAGACAGTGAGGCAGACCTCAGGTATAGTAAGAAGAGCAACTAAATTACAAACACTGAGAAGAGCTTATGCTTGTTCTAAACCATCAATACCAAGAGGGCAAAGCCAGCTCCAGCCCTGAAAGGACTTACAGCCTTCATTGTAGAGGTAGGCAATGCCTAGCTTCACAGCAGCTTCAAAATTCCCCTTTTCAGCAGCCCTACAACATTAGAACATAAAATACCACAGAATTATACTCCATCAAGGTTATGTACCATCACAGCAATGGAAGCTAATTATTTTCTGAATAGCAACTTCTTTCTGTACAACTTCTATCCATGACATGCTACATGTATGAACCTTAAAAATATGCTAAGAGAAAGAAGCCACATGTTGTATGATTCCTTATATGAAATGTTCATAATGGACATATCCAGAGAGAGGAAACAGATTAGCAGTTTTCAGGGTTTGGGGGATTGCAGATAAAATAGGGAATGACTGCTAATGGTTACAGGGTCTCATTTTGGGGTAATGAGAATGTTATAAAGTTAGATAGCATTGATGTTGCATAACTGTACTATATTAAAAATCATCAAGTTGCACCTTTAAAAAGGGTAAATTGTATAAATTGTGGGTTACATCTCAGGTGGCCTGCCTGAAACTACTGGCACACTTGGACAGTGTGTTTAGTCATTGTCACACTAGGATTCACAGGCCTTAGGGCTCACACCAACTTTGGTCCTGCCTCTGGATCCCATCTCTAGCAGGGGGATGGGATCAGCCAGTGAATGAAATGCAATAAGATTTAAATCATATGATTTTGACCAAAAGAAAAGAGCTGAGTAAAGTTCTCACACACAGGCAACCTGGGTTTGAGTCACAGGGATGGGTCACAGCCCAAGAGGGACTCTTCAGAAGCACCACTGTGACTAATGAGAGTTAGGCCTGTGCTGGGGGTATGGATGACTGATGACTGTGCTGAAAGTCATGTGACTCAGTGGGTGAGGTTGACTGCCCTTAGTTGCTTCCTTTGGGGGAGGGAGGGGATAAGGAATTGTCAGAGGCTACAGGAAGAAAATCATTCCCAGGTCAGGCCCCGAGACACATGCTGGAATATCAGGGAGCCCCAAGATGGGAGAAAACCAAGCTATTCCCAGGGTGCAGAGGTACCTTTCAAAGAGCTTCAAGTTCCTTGGAGAAGGCCATAGCTCTTGAAAGCTGGCACATGCCCACACGCTGGCATGGTTGTCCACCAGGTACTTCAGGTGGGAGTGCACCTGCAGAGCAACGGAAGCAGGGTAGGTGGGAATTAAGGGACCTTCCAGAAACAATGCCTCTGGAGCTTTTGAAGCCAGACTGTGAGGCCTCCTGTCCCCTTCCCTACCCCAGAAGCAAAGGCCCCACTCTGTGTCTTAAAGTAACAGTGACTTTGAATAGAAAAGAGCCCAGAAATAAGTTTCTCTGTGGCTCTGAAGGTGGAGACAGTGGTCCTGGAAGGGGGAATAAGCATTTAGACCAGTAGTTCTCAACCTTTCTAATGCCACGACTCTTTCTAATGCCAGTTCCTCATGTTGTGGTGACCCCCAAACATAAAATTATTTTCATTGCTACTTCATAACTGTAATTTTGCTACATAAAATTATTTTTGTTGCTACTTTCATAACTGTAATTTTGCTACAAAATTACATACGAACATACATACACACATATTACATACATACAAACGAAACTAATTTTATGGTCACCACAACATGAGGAACTGTATTAAAGGGTCGCGGCATTAGAAAGGTTGAGAACCATTGATATAGTCTGAGAAAGAGGGGATGACACCTCTGTACGATATATAGCTACAAGGAACAGAAAAACCAAGTCTAACAAGAGCAGCTAGGACAAAAATCTGTTTTTTGCTGTTGTTTTAAAATTTTTATTGATTTTGCCGAAACCGGTTTGGCTCAGTGGATAGAGCGTCAGCCTGCGAACTGAAAGATCCCGGGTTCGATTCCGGTCAAGGACGTGTACCTTGGTTGCGGGCACATCTGCAGTAGGGAGTGTGCTAGAGGCAGCTGATCGATGATTCTCCCTCATCAATGTTTCTAACTCTCTATCCCTCTCTCTTCCTCTCTGTAAAAAATCAATAAGATATATATTTTTAAAAAATAAATAAAATTTTTATTGATTTCAGAGAGGAAGGGAGGAAAGATGGAAACATCAATGATGAGAATCATTGATCAGCTGCCTCTTGCACGCCCCCTACTGGGAATCAAGCTCACAACATACTAAGCATGAGCCCTTCCCCAGAATCACAGCCTCCAGGGTCCCTTCAGTCCGGGTCCCATTAGTCCGCAGGCCAAGGCTCTATTCACTGAGCCAAACCAGGAAGGGACAAAAACCCATTTTGTATTGTTCTGCCTGGAGTCTTGCAGTGGGAGCATGAATGGAGCCTAGAGGTCAACAGGGACTCTTGGAAAAGACTGACAGCCTCAGGTAGGACCTGGAGCCTGTGCTCTGGGTAGGGGCCTGGATCACTGGTTAGCAATTTAAGCGCTAACATTCCCACTGCCATTGGAAACTCAACACTCTTGAGATATTATAGCCCAAGAGGTGGCTTTGGGAGTTGGAAAAGTGGGTTTTTGTTTTCCCACGAATTTACTGTATGCCTTGGATTAAGTCGTTTAAGATGAGGCTGCAGTTCCAATGTCTGTAAAATAACACTGAGTCCTCCTTTCAGTACTGAATATTACATGGGATTTGTTCTCAAGGATATACTTTTATTCTTTTTAATGATCTCTTAATTTTTCTCAAAAAATTTAAAAATTTATTTTTCAAGTAAAATTGAGGTACAGTGTTAATTTCAGATATAGTCTTAGTCTTAAGCGATACAAATTTTACTGCCATAAAAAAGTGGCTTCTCTGTTACACATTATAGTGAATGTACTACTTTTAACTTTTTCTATGATCAGAATCAACTCAAGCATTTATTAACAATTATCATCCTTGTTTCTCTGTTCTCTTTTGAAGCCAAAGTTCTGTTCTGACATTTAGGAATATGAAACCGTGATGGAATGACCAGCAATGCTAGGGCTGAGTTATTTTCATCCGGCAACTTACGGCTCGAACGGCAAGGATGTCCTCAACAGAAAGCCATTTCAGGATGTGAAAGAGCACATCTTCTGGGAGACTCAAAATGGTTAAGTTTCTGGGTCTTCTTCTTATTCTTCGCTTGGTAGGGTAACAGAAACACTTGGCACACCTACAGTGGATCACTTAAGAAAAAGAACCAGAATGGTCTCAGTGATGTGTTGGAAAGGAGCTGTACTGACACGAAGTTATATCTGAAGATGATTGAACCGTTATTGTCCCCTGTCCCACCCAAGGAATCAGCCATATTTCCAGTCCCCAAGGAAGAATAAGGGAGCAGCATGATAAGGATAACAGAAGGCATCACCATTTATTCAAATATTCAGTTAAGTATCGGTGGTGAATAAGCAGAAAGTCATGTAACCTGGCTATTGGGAAACTTTCTGATCCAGAGGCAGAGCCCAGAGGATAACCAGGAAGGGGAAACAAGCAGCCAACGGGATGAGGTCTCTCAATGAAGCCCCCCTGGCACCCTGGCTGATCTCTTTGCTCCGTTTGCATACACGACTACAATGCATGATGTTCCATAAGGATCCGTGGACTTGGGAACAACCCGGTTTTCGAGTCCAAATGAAGAGGGGCAGTTAGTTCCACAGGGAACCCAAGACTGAAACCGCAGGACAGCCTGGTCCCCCCTCTGCCCAGGGTCCTCTCCCCCCACGGCGGGGCGGGGGGAAGGGTCACTCCGCCTCCAGCAGCCCCTTCCTCATTCTAAGCAGAGGACTGAGACACTCTCGGGCAGGAACCCCTCACCTACGACTTACCTGGCTTCCCATTCAGCACTCCGCCCCGCGCCCCGCTCCCCGCTCCCCGCTCCCCACCTGGGTCTCCCCATCAGCGCTTAATGTGCCGCGAAAGCCCGACCCACACTCCGGGCGACCAGTTCCCACAGATTACATGGTGTTTTTTTTCCCCCCACACTGTCCTCATTCCCTGGATGGAGGACAGACACGGGGACGCTACACCGCCACGGCAAGAACCACCGGAGCCGCGGCGGCGCTCCCGGTCCTCCGCGGGTGCCGGCCCCGCGCGCGGGGCTTTCCCGCGGACCCGGGCGCCGTCGGGCATTTAAACTGCGCGCCGGGCGAGTGCCGCCGGGACCCCGGGGCGAAGGGCTCGAGCCGGCCGGCGCGGTTTGGGGCCGCTCGCCCGCCCGTCGCCGCCCAGGCCGCCCGCACCCCGCGCCCCGCGCTCACCGCTGCCGCTCCCCATCGCCACCTGCGCCCGCAGCCTCCGCCGCCTCAGCCGCCTCCGTCTGAGCAGCAGCGCCAGCCGCCGCCGCCGGCCCTGCGCGCCCCGCCCCACGCACGCGCAGACCCGCCCCGCCGCCCGCTCTAGTTTTCAAACGCGCCCGGCGCTTCCATTGGCCCGTCCGGGGGGGCGCGCGCCGCAGGTCTGCAGGGCCCCGCCCCCGGCCCCGCCCCTCTCCCCGGCTCCGGGCGCCCGCGATTGGCCGCGCCAGGACGCGAATTCGAACACCGGCCGTTGATTGGCGGAGCCCGTGAAGCCTCCCGGCTCCCTCGTCCTGGCGGGGGTCTGGGAGGAGCGCGGTTCTGACTCGGCGGGCTGGGGCTTCTTCATCGGTCCGAGTTGGCCCGCGTGGTTCCGGGTTGATCGGTGCTTGACCCTCATTGCTGACTAGGTTGTCAGTGAAGGTGTGCGGACCCCGCGGGCGCTGCTGGGCCCCGGACGGGGTTGTCTACCTGTGTGGACACAGAAGAGCCAGCACCCGGGCTTTGCGTCCAGGGGGCCCCTGACCTCCCACCCCCAGGCTGTACGCCTATTTCCCGTTCGTGCGCCGGGCTAGGAGACCTCAGGTTGGGGACCAAGCCACTGATGGCATAGGTTGTAATGGCAAAAGTGGAATTGGAGTTCTGGGCTCGAAATCATCCACTTTTCCAGTAACAAGGCTCACCCTGGACCCTGAGTACGTACCTGTCCCAGGACAAGCCCCAACCCTCTCACTTTGACCAGGTATCTCCCCAACTCAGTCTCCAGGATCTCCTCGCTGCCACCCTGGGATCCCTTCCTAAAAGGGCTTACTTGACTTGCTATTGCCAGCCACAGTTGGGTATTCTGCTCATTCGGAGGTTATCAGGCAGTGCCTACATGGCCTGTCTTTCAGGAAGCAACTCACACTCCACCTCTTCCGTGAGACATTCTAACAAGGAAAGAAATGCAATCTCCTGGCTTGGAGAAGCGAAGGAGTCTGAGTCATGGCTCAGACCCCTCCTCCCACAGCCTCAATTAGCTGTCATGTCCCCTCTGTTCCCCCATTCCTCATGCTCCCTGAACCTTACCGTGTCTCTGCTCCATGCCAGTCTGGAGCAGGAGATGGAGCAGTGAAGAGATGGATGATCACAACAAAGGATATGAAAGTCTCAGTGGTCCCAAAATGACAAGGGGCTGAGGCCCTGGAATTTGGTGGTGGCAGAGAGGGTGGGGTGATGTGCATGGGAGTAGAATGGATAGAGCTGATCATGCATGGGGCCTGCTCCCCAGATGCCCCAGATCTCATCCTTCCTCTTTTCCATTGGTTACTTTTTCCCCAATGTGTTTCTTTGTTGCCCTTCTCCCCTGCATTGTTACTTTGTTATCGGTTTTCCCCAGGCAAAGATAGGTAGTTCTTTCAGTGTTAGATTTTGGAAGCACCAGTAGGGCACAAATAAACTGGACCACCGATGATGGAGTCAGTTGTCATTCACCGCTCTAACTCCCCTGTAATACTACGTCACTGAGTCCAAAACATCATCCCTGGTCACTCAAAGCTCCTCAGATGTCCTCTGTCTTGTTTTTTTATGACCTTATCGCTCTCCTTCATTCAGAAGTCAAGTTTTCTTGTTTTTCAGGAAACAGGTGTCCTCTTCTTGGCTATACTGTAGCCATACGTTCCCTAGCCCCCACCCTCTGCCCTAGGACCCAGTGAGGTGAGAGACAGTTCCAGAAAGGTGTGAGGAGAGCCCATTTGCCATTGGGCTTCAGGAGGGTGAGAGAACTCATTGGGAATGTCCAACTGTGAGGAGCTCAGGGAAGTTCCTGCTTGGAATAAGATGGCAATTGAAGGACTGGGGATGAATGAGAAAGGAATTCCAAGGTGGCAGGGTGTAGAGGGCAGAGTAAGGAAAGGAAGTAGACTGGGAACTCACAGATCCCCCTATTCAGAGGGAAAGAGAGGAGTCTTCAGAAGATACAGAGAACCAGAGGAAGCGGAGAGAGGCCACAGGAGGGGTTTGCATCAGAAGGCTGCAGGGAACATTGTGAAATGCCCTAGAGAAGTTACATGGAAAAATAAGGCAGAAACTAGTGGGTGTGGTAGCAAGGGGTGTGATCATGGTGTAATTTTGGGTAAGTGGTGATGGGAGGTAGGATGTGTGAGCAAGGGCAGTAGATACCACTTTCCCAGAGAAGGCTGAGAGGAAGGGAGTCAACAACCTGCTGAGGGGGCTTTTTAGAGGGGCCAGAGTGACCCTGCTGGACAGAGAAAGGTGCTTGATGGAGCATCCTCATGACAGATCCGTCCACTCAGGCTAGACAGGCCATGGGCTGGAGCACACAGGTCTTGCGTTCAATGGTTCTCACCCCTGAGCTGCATCAGAAACACTTGTTAACATGGGGCTCAGTCAGCCTGCGACTGAAAGGTCCCAGGTTCGAATCTGATCAAGGGCATGTACTTGGTCGAGGGCATATCCCCAGTAGGGGGCGTGCAGGAGGCAGCTGATCTGATGTTTCTACTCCCTTCCTCTCTGTAAAAAAACACACACACAATAAAATATATTAAAATAAAAAAAGAACAAATGCTTCCTTTATAAACAGAACAAAACAAACATGGGCTCATTTTAATGCAGATTACTGGGCCTCATCCCAAAATTTCTGACCCAACAGGTCTGGGATGGGGCCCTTGAACCTGCATTTCCAATATGTTTCTGGATGCTGCTGATGCTAATGGTCAGGAATGCCACTTTGAGAACCTCTCTCTGCCTGAGTCAAATGTTGGCTTTCTACCTGCTGACTGTGGAAAGTTACTGAAGTCTAAATATCAGCTCACTGCTCTGGGCAATGCTATAATGATCTCGACCACTCCAGGGGCTGGTGTGGGGTCACACGGAGGCTTACCCTAACGTTTGCAGCAGCTGGGGCAGAGAGCAAATCCAGATATGTACATGCTGAACACTGGTGACTTAGGCTGCAGACTCCTCCATCTGCCTCTTCTCCTGCCTTCAGAAGCATGATGTCTTTACAGCCATGCTCACCCTCAGCTGCTGCCCCTGGAGAGGACACGGCAGGCGTTTCTCCGAGGCTGCTTCCAGACAGGTCTCCGTGAGGCTTCAGGCCACCGGCTGGGACTCAGGGGATGGTTTTCCAGTGACACACGTCTGGATTCTCCACTAAGCCCGCAAGGCAAATGGCCTTAGTCTGGCCGAGAGCCAACCTAGCCTTCCGCCCCTGAGCTGAGCTCACCGGGACCACCAGCTGCCTGTGCAACCCTTACAACCTAGGCAGGCGATGCACAGCTGGGCTAACCTGGCCCTGGGAAGTTTGTTTTTTTTTAAATATGTTTTTATTGATTTTTTTTTTTTTTTGAGAGGAAGGGAAAGGGGAGAGAGGGAGAGAAAAAGAGAGAAAAACAAAACACAACACAACACCACAAAACATTGATGTGAGATAGAAACATCCATTAGTTGCCTCTCGTCTGCACCCTGGCCAGGGATCAAACCCACAACCTGGGTACATGCCCTGACCTGGAAATAAAAGAGACAACCTTTCGGTGCATGGGACGACAACCAACTGAGCCACACCTACCAGGGCGGGAATTTTTATTCTAGCAGGACAGACTGTGAGGGAAGTGGGGAGGGAGGTGGTGGTGACGAGGGGCCTGCTGGCTCTGCTTGCCCTGGTTTTCCCCTTGGGTGGGAGGCCCAGGGCAGGTGAAGCCCAGGAAAATGCCTTCCAGAGAGACCTGGCTGACTGGTCATCTAGCATGTACTTCCTGGCTTGCTCCAGAGCGCCAGCTACCTACTGTGGGTGGTGGGCACAGGGGAGGGGAGAGGAGACAGCAGAGGGTCGAAAGAGGGAGGGCCCCTGGAGTTGTGATAAGGCCCCCTAAAGGTCCATCCCTCTTTCAGCTGCCCCAGAGCACTCCCAGCAAGTCAGTCCTGCAGAATTCAGCTGTCCACAATCTCAGGGGAAGGGACCCTGGTTGGGAATGGTGCCGGGAAGCAGAGGTCCCGGTGAGCCCCTGGCTTGCTGTGTGATGCTGGGCTTGTGGCCTTTTCTGGACCGGCTACCCTCTCTGTGAAACGAGGAGGAGCTGATCTCCAAGGTCCTTTCCAGCGCAGAATCGAATGCTCTAGGAAATCCATAGGAATGTTGTCATGGAGACATCAGAGAGGGACTGCAGCAGCACTGAACATGGTTTCCACCTGAAAGAGAACACCAGAAGGTGGGTGACATCAGAGCTGTTCTCTCTCCAATGCCCGGGTATATGCTCACCTTCACGTGGCTGAGGTCATCGCCAGGCAGGTGCTAACGGACCATCCCTTGGTGCCCATTTTCCAGGACGCTGCCTGCATGAAGGAGAGACCGTGTCCCCACGAGGGCTGGGCTGGACAGCCACAGCAGGGTGGCCTGGCCCCACAGAATTTCAGTCTTCGTCCCAGGGGCCAGGAATGCGGGACTCGGCAGGGGTGAGGCACGAATGCTGTCTGTGAAGTGTCACTCACCTGCCACGGTCAGGTCCACAAATGCCTTGAACTCCTGCAGCGCCTCCTGCTGCCTGTTGCTCCTAACCTTGGCCCGCAGGGAGTAGCCACTGCCAAACTTGCTCCTGAGGTGCCGCGGGCTGCCCAGGCACTTGATGCCAGCTGGGTGCACAAGGCCTCACAGTCCTCCATGCTGGGGAGAGGAGGAGGGGCCTGATATCCTTCCTTCAGCTGCCCCTAGAGCACTGTCACCTGTGTGAGCACTCCGTGGGGGAGGGATGGGTAGGCTGACATTTACCCTGTGTCAAATGCTGGCCAACGTTGACACCCAGATCAGCCTGTTCCTGATTCCCATGCTCAGAGTGTGGCTCACATGCCTGGGGATTCTCCTCACAGATTTTTAATTAATTTATTTATTTATTTTTACCAAGAGGAAGGGAGAGGGATAGAGAGTTAGAAACATCAATAAGAGAAAAACCATCAGCTGCCTCCTGCACACCTCCTACCGGGGAT